AGTTGTAATAGCTAACCCAATATAAAGTCAATAAAGTATCGCCACAAGTATGGCCTTAGCAAAAAAAAAAAAAAAAAAAAAAAGTTAAACTATATATTTAGTAAATATTTTAATCATTTTAATTTAATTATAACTATTTTTTAACTTAAACAAGTAATGTTATCTTTATATTTTATTAAATAATAAAACAGTTTTTATTACTCTTTAAATAAGTTAAAAGAAAGCAATAATGCTTTTAGTAAATAGTAACCAATAAATGAATAAAAAATTTAAAAATACAAAAAATATTAATAGAAAAACTTTTTAAAGAATTTTGTGCTTATTGGAAATAATTTATTGTTTGGATCTTTAAACAAACAAGGTAACTTGTTACTGTTTAGTAATCTGTTATAGACATTTTCAAATAATGTAATGACTATAATTAGGTTAAAAGTAAGTATACTTCTTACTAAAATAATTGCAATAATTTGTAACATAGTAAAAAATTTAAATAAATCTTCTAACAAGATAATACTTGAGCTGAATTTTTAAAAGACTATAGAATTAGATATTTTATAAGTAAACTTTATTCTCTTGTAACATTTGGTAAACCTGGTAAAATAAGTTATAGAGTTATCTTAATAGTGATCTTTTCCAAATTATTTGATTGAAACTCTAATCCAATTGAGTTTAAGAAACAGTAAGTATAACTGAAAGAAATTTTAAGCATAAAGAATGCTTGAAGAATAGTTCTTGCCTATGTGATAGCTACTATAAAATTACCACTTGGAATAACAATAAATCATTCTATCATTTTAGTAACGAAATTGATGAAAAGATTCAAGTAAATAGTTCCAATGTACTATTGAATGCACTTAAACAGGTACCTTTAGGGCAAAATAGTTATCAAAATTAGCTGTTAAAGAAATAGGTTGTCAAGTAAAGTGGCTGTCTTCAAAATGTGTCAAAAAAATTGAGTATACCCAAAAACACATCCTATTACTTCGTCCTATTACTCTTAATTGACAATTCACAAAAAAAGAAAAATTTGTATTAATGAAATCAATAATGTTACGTATAAAATATAGAAATCAGCATTACTAACTATTTAAAGTTAATTTATTATGAAGCTAACATTTTGTGAACTTCTAATGGAAGTTGTAGAACTAGTTTTTCTAATGATAGCAAGACCGGTTAGTTAGATATATAAAGGTTACAAGTAATTTCTTGTGGTTTGCATAATTATAAAAAAAAGTAATCATTGATTTCCGATTTCTTTTACATTATTTTTGACTTTTAGATTAGGCAAAATTTGCACATCAATTATTTTGTAAAAATTTTATTATTTTTTATAGAAATAAAAATTGCATATTCATCATATCGTTATATATTTGCAGAAATAGGAGTTGCGCATTAAAATATTCAATCAATTTTTACAAATGATGAATGCGCAAATGTTGTCTAGTCTAAAGTCAAAAAAAAAAAAACGAAGAAAAAATCGGAAATTAGTGATTACTTTTGTTTTTAATTATTTTATAATTTTGCAAACCGCAATAGGTTTAAAATTTTTTATAAAGCTATAGGCTCTCGTTAATATTCTCCTTCTATCGTGAATTGTCAATTAAGTAAAAATGTCCAGCTAGTAATTTTGCATGACACAGTTGGACAGTTGGCACAGAAGTGAGTTAATAACATTTATACACTTAAAGTAAACATAAGATCAATGGATAAAGATTTAATGTCAATATTTATTCATATACACATGCCTAACGATCACGTATCACATGATAAGTACGTATCGTATAATAAAAATAAAAATAAAAATATATAACAATAATTGAAATATACATACAATGAATGAATGTAGGAAAAATACAATGTAAAGAGTGTATAAATGAACACTCTACTACAAATATATGCGTCTAAATATTGAAAGCAAAAATATACATATATTGTACAGAAAAAAAAACAAACCAAAAAAGAACATTATCGGGAAATTTACCGAGAAATGCAATAAGGAACGAAAGTAAAATTTGTGCATAGTTTATTTCTAGAAGCCATGTGTAGGGACAAAAAAATGCATTCTTTAGTCATACAATATTTTTTAACAAAAATCATTACTATATTTACAAACTAAGCTATATATTTCTTTTTATGCATAAGAGTTGGTGAATGTAAAGCTATGTATATAAATTTTAAACATGGCTTAAGATTGTGAAATCACGCCTTAAGCATTATTTTTTCAAATCTATCCATGTTTTCTTCCATTTTTCTAATAATGCCAACGATAGATTGATAAATATCTTCTAATTCATCTTCATTCGTAGTTGCACCTGGGCCGACGTTATTTATGCTGGCAGTATGTATATCAAGTTTGTAAATTATTTTTTCAAGATCATCAACACCTGCGAACATCCTTTCGACTATAAAAAAAGTAATTTAGAATGGGTAATCTTTTTAAATTGGAGATGGAAATTTCATGTTGAAAAATATGAAACATTTACTTTCTCCTTCCAATACATTCAGGATATTCTCATCAAGAACATAAGAATATAAATTCGTTGAAAGGGAATATAATTTTTGACGTATCTGACATGGTACATTCGAAGAACTGACACAACGATTATTTATAAGATAAATTCGTTGAGATTTTTCCAAGTTGTGGGTAATTGCTTCAGGGAATATATCGGAAATTGTAGTGTGAGTAGTTGTATTGATAATAGAAGGCTAAATTTGAGGTGTTTATGATTATTACGATGAGTATCATAACGTGACTGAAGCAATGATTAATTACTTTACCATATTGTTTGATTTTGTTTAGATTGTTTATGAAGCTTGAGATACGTCAAAAAGGAAGGATCAGGAGTTAAATGATCAAATTTGAGACTTTAAAATTGAAAGAGCGAAAATTTGGCAAAAAAAATTTTTTAAATCAATTTTACTCCAAATTGACTGTTTGTGAAAAAATCCTTTATTAAATGCGAGGGTGAAAAAAAAAAATTTCTAAAGCGAGTTGTTGAAGCCTTTTCTACAGTGATACGTATAATGCACGTGTCACGTATTCAATATTTTTAGGTACAACGGAACTTTGCATGATATAAGCCAAAAAATAAAAATAAAAAAATGCGCACCTTGACAACTTTTATAGAATCATAGAAGTAGGATAGAATGTTACGTGATTGGATCGCATGATTTGGTTAGGATGCTGATATACACTAGTAAATGGATTACATTTTTTATTCTCATTCTTGCGATTTTGTTGAATAAGTGTATGACCAAGCATGTTACACGGAATTATAATCCTTATCATTTGTAAAAAAAGTGTATCTGCGTATTACATAACTTAAAATTTAGATTTTATATGCATTATTATAAAAGAATCTTGAATGGTGTTAAACACAAATAGTAAAAATAGTAAAAATGATTAAAATACTCAACGCGTTAATGTCCTCTTTCCTCTAACGATACGCCGTTGATAATCGGAATAAAATTAGTCAAAATTTAAGATATAGAAAGATAAATTGGCGTATTAACCATGACGCCAACGAAACCATTTATGCGCTGACCGTTTGCAGATACTTCTTGTTAAATTTCATATCATATGCGTCTATCTTCACGATCATAAGTTTAGGGAAGTTTGTTACTAACTGTACCAATATTTGAATGTTCAATATTTACCATAATTTGGGGTGTCACCTTAATTGCACGACGGCATTTCTTAAGTGTCCTCCGCAAAAACTATATTTAAAGTTTTTAAGTTTTCTTGATACAAATAATTTCTGAATAAGAACTAGTGCATAACACAATAATTTAATTGTACCGCGACGATACGAAGAAATATTTTCGTGTTTTTTTCTGGTCTGATGCTGTATTTTTCTATCTATTACAATTATAGAACTCCATAGTTCTCATGATCATGTTGTGATTGATACCATTTCTTTTTTCGTTTTATGTTCCTATAAACATAAACAAATACGGGCATTTCAGTGATTTGATTGCCGTGAGACAAAATAAAAGTATATGAAATTTCTTTATTTATTTATAATGGTCATTTACGATGTTGTGCATTTTTTCTGGGCGTAACCTACTTCTGACATTATTGTCGATGTTATCTGTTATCGTACTACGTATGCAACTCCAGGAAAGTAGCACAACATGCTCACCCCTAAGTATTGATAGGCTAATATTAGATTTAAGATACACATTCAACATTTCGATGAAATTATTTCTTTCATGTAACATACAATCGTGTTTAAAATGAATGCTGCAAAGGGAAAACCTACTTAGATGTTGAATAATTACGTAACTTATCATTTTCGTTATACGTTTTTTTTGTTGTATCGCCGAATTACTAATCAATACTAACGCTAATGCGTAATATCATAATTTGTCAGGGGCTATGTTCGCTATTAAATATTTCCCCCCTTGCAGCTCTCAAATCCAAAATACAACTCATCAGATGAAACTTCTCAAATCATCAATGTTTTTAATCAGATGAATTTTATTGACCGTAAAAAATTGGCTGATGTGAATGATTCGGATGTGTATCCTTGCTTTGTTGCCAGGTAGTTTTTAATTAAATTGATTACTAATAAATTTGTAAAGCGAAATCACGTGACACGTATAAATGTGTCAGCTTTGCTGCGCACCATAAGTTCGTTAGTGTTAGGGTTAGCATTTAGAATACGATTAAAGATTAGACAGATATATAGTAAAGTCACTCAAGAAAAACTTATATTAAAACACTGAAGCTGAGATCTTATAAAGATTTTCGAGAAATAAGCGATTTTTGACAAAGCGAATGTTTAAGTTTTGAATTTTTCTGATCGTGTTACGTTATACTTAATCTTGAAATCTGATTCGTAGTTTAGGCAATATGCGCCACAGTTGCGCCACAAACCTGACACACATTTCAGATATGCATATAAATTACTACCTGGCTTTAAACAATCCTAAATGAGAAACCCTAATGGTATAAATGTTGTACATCAAAATAAAATAATTATGGATTTAGGTTAATTTTAAATAAATATAAATTGTAATAAAATTTTAAATAGCATTTAAGTTGTTAAAGAATTTAAATTCAAATTAATTGAATTCTAAACTATTTTATTAAGTACATTGTTAAAAATTTAAGTTAATTAAAATAAGGTTTGAGGATATGGTAATCTAGTGAAGTGATCAGGTTGTCAATTCTCCAAGTGGTAAGTTGGATGTTCAAATTCTATTAATAATGAAAATTTGGATAATTACCTATATAATATTTATATTATGACAACTGTTACTAATAATTAGGTTAAGATACCTATAATAGCAATTACATTAGCATAACTGGCGGATTATAAGACATCTGTATAACTTGTTATATAAAGAAATGCAAACCAACAGTCAGGCAGTATAAACACTAAATAGGTTCTTGTAATTATATAAATTTTTTGAAATTAAATAACAAAAAGTTTATTTGAAAAAACCTGAATAAAAAGGTAGTTAGATCTTTGATGACTCTATTATAAAAACTAATCTTATAAAATAAATATCAAGATTAAAGTAACCAAATAATCAAAAATTTTTGGATAAAAGGTATCATTAATCAAACTATTAAAACAAACCAAAAGAAAAGAATATTGGATTATCATGATATATCAATAAATTAATTGTAATCTTATTAAGCTATCTGAATTGAGAGTCTAATAAACTGGTAGAAGTATACTAAAGTATTTTAAATATGTTGTAAAATAGATGTTAAAACTATATAAACTTTACAAGAATATAGTAGTTTAATAGTTAACCCTAATTGCAAGTATTAGTTCTATTATAATAATATCTAAATCAGTTGTAAAAATGAATACAAAAGACTCTAAAAAGTTTATTTTAAAGATAAATTAGTTTTAAAGTTAAGACAATAATCTGAGTATCTAGATATTATCTAGTAAAATTAATACAGATTGTAGGTTCAAAAAGTTTAAAGTAAAACATCTAAATAAGAGTATTAGGTATGATAATTGGTAAAGAATCTTTAGCAGACTCTTTAAATAGGTAATATAGAAAACTTATATATATAACCAATTGTATACTCTTCTGTATTAGTTCATTGAATTATATTATTAAAATTTTGTTAATAAAAATCAAAAGACTAAAGAGATTAATTAACACTAAAAAAAAAATTTTAAAATAAAGTTTACTCATAATGTAATATATATAAATTAATTAAATTTAAAATTATTATAAAAAGTTTTTATATTTATATTACTATTACTACAAAACAATTTACTTTTTTTATATTTATAATAATTTTTATTATATATATTATTATATATATTTTGTAATTATAAAGAGATTGTATCATAGATGTTTCTTAAATAATTATAAGCATTAAAGAAATATTACTTAATTTTGAAAACTTAACAGAATTTAATAAAAGAAGTTTATTATTATTATATATAATTTTAATAATATTATATTAATATTTAAATTTGTATATATTATTTTTTAAACTTTATATTATTACAATATTATTTTTTTTATATTAAACTAATTTTTTTAAATTAAAATATTTATTTAATATTATAAGATATAAACTCATAACAGAAGTTTTAATGAAATTATTTTTATATTAGAAAATACAACTAATTATATATATATTTTTGATATTTAATTTGTCTATATTTTATATTAGCTATTATATTTGCAATTCAATTATAAGCATTGTCTATTTAAACTCTTTGTACTAAACTCTTTCCATAGATCACTAAAACCAACTTCTCTCAAACAAACAATTCAACTTTTCTCAATATTTTACTAAACTAACAATCCTTAAACTTCTAATTAAACTTCTTCCTTACAACTTTCTAACCTAAAAACAATATAAATTTATTTATATCTATTCTTCTGATATAAAAAACTCTTACATTTAAATAAAATTATCTTTATTTATACAACTTTTAACTTTCTTCAATTTATACTTAATATTACTTCTTTACTTCTGTTTAAACTAAATACACTAAACTCTTTACTTCTAACTATACTAATTTCATCAAATTCTAATTACTACATTATATATAAACTAACATTCTCTAAAAAAACACACACTCTCTATTTTCATTAAATTTTATTAAACAAACTTATCTTCTTCTACTAAACAAAAATACCTAGCTCACTAAAACGATCATTTTAATATATATTTCATCTTAAATAGACCAAAACTTACTAAATTATCTATATTTCTATCTAAACTTTCTTTTGAAATACTATTGGCCAATTTCGAAAAATTTACTGGGTTGTCTCGGAAATTCCACTTTTTACCAACCTTGAAAATATCCAAATACCCATTATTTTTTTCAATTTTCCTCAAAGGAATCTGAAAAATTTACTGGCTCTCTGGAAAATTTACTGTTAATCTTAAAAAACTCAATTTTCTCATCCAATTTCCATCTTTTTCACTTTTCTTTTTTGCTACCTATATTATAAAACTCTCTATTCTTACTAAAAACTATTCTAAAAAGCACTTCTATATCTCTATTTCAAATTATTATCAACTTTAAACCTTCTTTAAATACTATTATCGATTATAATCCTAAAATAAACCTACAAACTACAACACAACAAGACCAACCCTTAGACTGGTTCAAAAGCTATCCTATACCAGAAAACTTCTCCTTATTTTTACTTACAATATCTGAAATTCAAACTTTAGATTTCTTAAAACCAATCCTTAAAGACTTCTATCCTGGCTCAATTATTAACTCTACAA